AAGGCCTAAGCCCCCTCTGGGTATCCAACTGAAAAAAAAACAGTATTCCTGGAAGATCAGAGCCCGACCTGCTCTCACATTTGTTCTGCAAGCTTAAGCCAATGCACTGGCACCTGCACCCCTGGAGCCAGCTCAGGCTTCAGTGTCTGTGTCACCAGCCCTGACCTGCCATTCCCTACCCGTTCTGAAAGGACAACAAAAGTCTGTAGGGTCCTGCCATAAAAAAATAATCCCTAGATATGGCCTGCCCTTTATCATTGGCAGCAACAACAGGCCTGCATTTGTAGCAGAGGTAATTCAAAAACTAGATTAAATAAAAACTACACACAGCTTGTAACCAGTTAAAAGACCAGCTATATCTGTAGACATTCCTGCACACACATATACCTCAGGTACAGATTAACTACCTCTACAAATTTGATAAACGCAGCCTTAGATTCACTGAAAAATTTGCCTGGACAACTCCTCTGAGGTTCACTCTGAAGAGACAATGCACACACAACTGAAACCTGAGGACATCATTCACAGGAATACTACATAACTATTCCCCTTGATTTTTGTATCTTCTCAGGCTGTTTACCTGAGTCCTTGCTTCCCTGGCCCCACTGCTAGCTGTGGTTTTTGTTAATTACTTAGATTCTGCTTACCCTAGTCCTTGCTTTCCTACCACTTCTAGTTGTGTTTTTTGTTGTTGGGTTTTTTTGTTTGTTTGCTTGCTTTGCCTTAAACTGTATGGACAATTGCCCCAGGAGAATAAAACAATCAAACACTTGTACAAGTGTCCAAGACACACTGTACATGCTCCTAGATCAGACTAACTCCCTCACTGCCCTGCCAGAGTAATGTTACAGAACAGACAGGCCTAAACTCTACCTTGGCCTTATCTCAGAAGATCACAAGTAAAATGCCCAGCAAAGATTTGCTGGAGAAACTAAAAGAGACAAAGAAACGTAGCAGAAAATGCCCCCAACAGGCAAGTATACTTCACTTTCTTAGCTGTCCAGGTAATAGTTCCTGTTCCAGTTCTGGTTGCTTCTGTCTCTTAGATATGGCTGGTCACCATGATGCACAGCTGATCGCTATAATGCACACTGCATAAACCAATCCCCAGTTGACGAGCCAGTCCGCCTCTGTACTCTCTACTGGCTTATCCCATATAAGCCCTAGATCACCAGAGATTAGGCCCCAATATTCCGGGAATAATACCGATCAGTGCCCATTCACATAAATAAATCTGCCTCTAAATCCTGGGTGTCGTTTCAGTGTTTCTGCTTGCTGTTGCATTTGCGAAGTCTCAACAGTGGTTTTTCCCCCACTCAGCAGAACATTCTGATTGTGATCATGATTTGGGCACCCATGATTCCCATTCTGTAACTCTAGCCTCGATGTTTTTCCTGAAAACACATCCCAAGATTCCACCTGCCTGGCATACAGATGTCCCAACACTCATTCAAAGGCTTCATCTCTCACACACACACACATACACACACACACAGTGACAAATCCCAACCCTGTTTCATGTTCTCAACTCCTGGGCTTTACAAACCTATCACCATCCCCTCGAACAGAGACCTTTGAGCAATCAGTTAAGCTTCAAATGGGACTGGGGTGTGGTTCAGGGCTAAAGTGATTGCCTAGCATGCACAAGACCCTAGATTCAATCCCAAGAACATAAACCAAATTCAGATGGTGCAAATCACCTTCCTAAGCCTGTTTCCTTTTTCAGTGAAGCTGGCAAGGGCAGTATCAACTTCAGATAGTCATTAAGGGACGGTCTTTTTCCTTCCTCTCTATATTTAATTACTGCATAAGAACCATCAATTCTGCCAACCAAATGTCTCTTAAAGGCTTCCCCTGCTTTGTATTCCTACCATTACGTACTCATTTGTAAACTCAGCATTTCTAGCCCCAAAAACCTGTAAAACTCCCTATTAACTGTGCTCCCTGTCCTCTCCAACCTGCTAGCCTATAAACCCCAGAACAGAGGGATATGATGGGTGCTAGTCCTCTTATTCATTTTCTCAAAGCCCAGCACAGATCATGGCACAGAGCAGGTATTCACCAAATGCTAGCCGGGTGAGGTGGCGCACGCCTGTAATCCCAGCACTCGGGAGGCTGAGGCAGGAGGATCGTTGTGAGCTAGAGACCAGCCTGGGTAACAAAGTGAGCTCAAGGCCAGTCTGAACTCCACAGCAAGACCCTGTCTCAAAAAGACCAAAAAAAAAAAAAAAAAACCAAATGCTTCTTAGCAATGCTGACTGGTTACAAGGTGATCACCCCAAGCACCAGGCACAATGAAGAGAAACCGTAAGAAAAACTTCAGCTCGTGAGCACTGAGGGAAGTCCCTGTGCATACTGAATAAGGAAGAATAGCAACGTTTCTTTCTCTCTGGGGCCCCTGTTCCCCAAATTTCCCTGGTCCACCCTCATTGTGGTATATAACTAAGGAGGCATCAGGCCTAAGTGAGTGGTTAGTAAGCAAAAATTTTATTCAGCATAAGCGGAAAACCATAAAGATATATTAAATAAGAGATAGTGAGCAGGATATGTGTATGTTAAACATCAAAAGGAAGGGCTAGAAGGACCAAGAGATAATGAATTCTCAGTAGGCATTAAATATACATGAGGCACCTGGGCTCTAAATATTCATGACACACTATACAAGGGGCACTAAATATTCATGAGAACTCAATATTTATGAGGCCTGAATTCGGCCACTCATTGGCAACACCCATTCTGGCCCCATACACCCTCTGTCCAAGAAATACAAACAAAATCCATGACTATTCAGCAGGCTCACTGGCGAACTACAGCTGTGGCCAGGCACACTTATCCCTGCAGCTCTCCAATATAGCAAGCGTGTTCCCTTGGCCCAGGGTCCTTTCTGTCTGTGGTTCTCTTTGTTTGACCCTCAATTTGGGCTCCAAACCACATTCTTCAAAGTTAAGGCTGGTGAAACAGAGAGAGAGGCCCACTGGCCAAGATTCAGGAGTGTGGTCCTTCCACCCACTTGAATTTGGTCCAAAGTGTGGAAACCCGTTCTGTCTCTCCCCTTGCCTCTTAGTGTGTAGTTTTGCTTGGTTTTGTGTCCTCCCACCCCCACCCCGTGCTGGGGATGTATCCAGGGCCATGCACATGCTAAGCATGTGCTCCACACCGAGCTACATCCCCCAACTGTTGCTGTGTTCTCAATTATTTTAATCTAACCTGTGAATCATGTGATTTAATTTGGCCCATGGGCCTTGTGTTCTGTGGCTTCTGGGAGAACCTGCATGAATGCTTCTTGGAGGCGACCACTGCATCAAGTAACAACTCAGACAACACCATGGTTGCCACATAGAGAACAAACTGTAGGAGGAACAGAAGTGGAAGCAGGGAGACCGTAGTAGACAGCTACTCCACTGCGCCAGCAAAGCGATGAGAGTAGCACAGCTTAGGATGGTATAAGGGGGACAAAAAGACATAGCTAAGTTGAGGATGTTTTGCTGGGAGAGCGACGAACAGCAATGCTCAGTGGGTATGAGCAAATGGGGAAAGCAAAAGCGAGTGGAAATTGTACTCAGAGAAGGCAATTTCCGAGCCTGTGATATCGGAGGCGACAACATTGCAAAACATAAGAAAAAAAAAAATCTCACCCAAGAATTACGGCTCCTTCGGAAACAAAGGACTCTGGAAGGTCACTTAGACCAACTACCAAATGCTCAGCTCCTCTCCAATGCCTCTACCAAGCTATCAGTGAAGAACATCTCAACCACATCCCAGGGGCATCCATTTCTTCGGCTGTGTGGTTTTGGTGTTGTTGTTTTGGTACCAGGAATCAAACTCAGGACCTTGCAAGCACTGTGCAGCTAAGCTGTATCACCGGCCCCTCCGGGCATCCATTTAGACCAATGAACAAATGAAGGACCCCACTCCTCAAACCGACAACAGAACCCACCTCCCCCTCCGTGCAAGACCACCCACCGCAGCTTCTGGCAGCTCTTGCTACAAAGCTAAACATGACCTGAATTCCGATCCCTAGACACCACCCACCAGGATACAGTAAGTAAGGTCACTCCCCCCTCTCTGACACTCCCTTAAACACCTGAAGACATTTTCAGGCACATTTGAGTCTTGCATTACATTATACACAAATATCCTTTTTCACTCTTTAGTCACACACATGACAGTTTTCAGAGAACCCTTACACTCACTGTTCCCTGACAGCATCCAGAGTTCAGGCCCAGTTCCCTCCCTTGATCTCCACAATCTAATAATGCAGCCTAGGGTTGGGTTCTCTGGTGGCCACAGAGCTAATTCTTAACGGGCTGCAGCACAGTACAGGTAGATGCCCGGCATACACTGGACACAGGAACAAGGACTCTGCTGAGACACCACTGAGGTTCTGTTAATCACCATAAATGATGCCAGTTACCAGGTATGAGGAGGACATGAAGACAGCTGAAACAAAAGACAAGAAATGCAAGAAAAAAAGAAAGAATACCAGTCTGGAAGTGGCAGTGGAAAAGAATCACGTGATTCTCCCGAGAGTGCTGTGAAGGAAGCCAGTTAGCCACGGCAAGAGACTAAAGGTTTGAAGACAAGGGAAAAGGCACAGGAGAGTCTGTTCATACTACAGCGGCATTTGAAATGACACACAGCCTCAGAGAAGTGACAGAAATGGCCAATACTGCGGTGTGCGCTATAGGAAGTTGATGAGTCACTAACATTAACTACACACCAGCACCATATTTGCCACTGACAACAAGTTAGATACCTAAGAACTGGTACAGGGCCTTTTCTAAAGCTAAAGAGCTGGGCACAGTGGCACACACCTCTAATCCCAACACTCAGGAGGCTGAGGCAAGAGGATCGTTGCAAGTTCGAGTGTCAGCCTGAACTGCATAGCAAGACCCTGTCTCAAAAAGACAAAAAAAAAAAAAACCAAAAAGCTAAAGAAAGATAGTACATAATGGCAAGAGTTAAAGTTAAATAACCAGAAAGCTGCTTTAAATAGTTACCTTGAGGCAGCCCACTGTTTTCCACTTCTGGTTCATTTACTTCGATCGTGTCATCTTCTGGGTAGAAGTAGATTTTATAGTATCTTATTCTATATATTTCTTGGCGTTTTTCGATCATTTCATCTTCCACATAGGCATCAAAGCATAATACCTGTTCGAGTAATAATTAGAAACTATGAAAATAAAATACAACCAATTTAAAATCAATAAAGCTACTGCTCATCTATTTTTTTATTACTATGAAGAAAAAAAATTGGGGGGGATTTTTTTCCTAGGACACATTTTACACATCAGCTACGCAGACAGATACACAATCTAAGTTACAGTACATAAACATTATTTTACGCTTTCATCACTGTCTGGTTAGAACAAGGAAATGATATTCAAGCAATAAACCCATCATTCAGCCCTACCATAAACTGTGTCTGTGGAATTTTACAGTGGAATTCTAAATACATGGGTAGAGAAACAGAATAGTCTTTCTCACACAATGCCTGTAAGTTTTGTTATTGGTTCCCATTAATAACAACACAAAGCTACTTGGTTCTGAGATAAAATTATCCTAATTCTCCATCCTATAGTTTGTTTGCCATGAGGCAATCTAAAGAAGCAAATCTGTGATTTTTCTAAAGCATACAGACTCCATCGTACACTTCTCTGGGAACTTCAGAAAGCCAGACCCGTCTTACATTGGGGGGGGCGGGGGAGGGTGGAATCTAAAAACTATTCTGGTAAAAATCAGTCAAAACACTCCTTGAAATTCCCTTAACCACACTGGAAAACTGCCTCTCTGCAAGAAAAACACAAGTCCTTTCCCCACCCCCTATGCTGAAGCAAGGGACTGTCTCCTCTTCCTAAAAACCAGTTCTAATAGTCTTTGTGTTAAGGTGCCACGTGGTATAAAAGTAATATTTAACCTCTGGAATCACTCTCCACAAGGCAATCTGCTCATACACTAAGTAGGACATGGTAATTGAGGATAAGTGTGAGAAAGGTGTATTTGTGCTACCATTTCCAGCTTGACCTAGGGCACAGATTGCTTGAGATCCATTGAAATCTTCACTTTGCCTCTCAATTTTCATCAATTCTTATAATAGAAGTTGCAAAAGTTAATTCTGGGTTGAAGAAGTGGAAGGGAATGGGAAAAAAAAGCAAGATAGATCACACACACATACAAATTCCCTATGATGAAAGTGATCATTATGTGTATCTAAAATGTACCAATTAAAAAACTTAATTATAAAGATGATGTAACTCAAGGATTATTCAAAAGGGACATTATGCATACCAATCTACCTTCTAGAGTAGTCAGTTACCCAATATACATTCCAGGAGTGTTTAGCAAATTTTTATCAGAAGCATGTATTTCTAAAAAAACAGTAGACACAAAAAACTTTTGTTAATTACAAAAAAAAAAAAAAAAAAAAGATATTACACCTGGGTGTGGTGGCGCATGCCTACAATCCCAGCACTCAGAAGGCTCAGGCAGGAGGACTGCAAGTTCGAGGCCAGCCTGGGCTACACAGTGAGTTCAAAGTCAGCCTGGACTACACAGCAAGATTCTGACTCAAAAAAACAAAACCAAAAAAATGATGCTAGAAATCAGTCTTAGTGAAATTACGGAATCCAAAATGCACCGATCAGTTTCTGAGAATGACAAGGCACCGTTCTCATAGTAACAGCTTCTAAGAATCTAGAGAGCCCAGGAATCTACGCCCTTCAAACAGCACCTTAGACTTCTCCACCAAAACAGCCCTACGTTCAGCGGCTTTCTTGAGAAAATCATCGGTCTCACTCGGGGTTTAGCTGGAAGGTTTTCCTTGCTGTGACAAAACACTGTATCTGACATAAAGCAACTTTCAGGCGGAAAGCTTTATCTGGGCTCATGGTTTCAAGTTTCGGCCCACAGTTGGCTGGTTTCATTACTGTCAGTCCTGTGGCAAGGAAAAGACATCATGGCAGAGGAGCCTGGCAGAGGAAAGCCACTCATTAAGAGGGCCAGAAAGGAGTGAGAAGGGAACAGCCATGGAGAAAAGGGGTAGGGCCAAGATACAGTCCCCTGGTCACACCGCCATGACCCGCGCCCTTCAACTAGTCCTAACCTGCTAGGCGTCCATTACCTTCCACTATGCCAGCAAATTAGGGTCTCATCAACGGATTGGACCAATGATGAAATCAAAGACCTCAGGAGCCAATCACCTTCCCAGAGCCCCCTAAACCACAGGAACATGTGAGACTTTGAAGGAACATTTCCCAGTTAAACCACAGCAACAGTTAAATTTTTATGGAACAAGCATTTTAAGTAATATGCGGTCAGATGGGTACGGGGTATTACAATTTCTTCTAAAATGTTTTGGCAACTAGATAAAAGTAGTAGTTGTACAATATTATGAATATGCTAAATGTCACTGAGCTGCTCACTTTAAAATGGTGAATTGCTAACTTTACACTACGTGAAATTTACCTCAATTACAAGAAAAATGTTAGACAGTGAATTGCGTTGGACATTTTAAAATGGTGAATTTTAGCCAGGCATGGTGGCACACACCTGGAATCCCGGCACTCTAGAAGGCTGAGGCAGGAAGATTCCAAGTTTCACTCCAGCCTGGGCAAATTAGTGAAACCTTATGTCAAATTTTTAAAACGTAAATTTAAAGGTGGGAGGTGGCAGCTGGGGATGTAGTTCAGTGTGAAGACCCTGGGTTCAATCCCTAGTACGTCAATTAATGACTCAATCAATCAAATAGTGAATTTTAGGTTATGTGAATTACATCTCAATAAAAAAATAAGTGGGAGCAGGTGTTCGAACATGAAAAAAGAACAAAGACCTAGCTGGGCACGGTGGTATGGCAGTACATGCCTGTAACCCCTGCATTCGGGAGGCTGAGGCAGGAAGATCACTGGGAGTTTGATGCAAGCCTGAGCTACATACTGAGACCCTGTCAGAAAGAAAGAAAGAAAGAGAGAGAGAGAGAGAGAGAGAGAGAGAGAGAGGGAGGGAGGGAGGGAGGGAGGGAGGGGTGAAGGAAGGAAGGAAGGAAGGAGAGAGAGAGAGACAGACCTGGAGCTTAATTAAGCTTTCAACATAGGGAGTTTTCAATTTGAGGCCTTTTTTCATTGCAATCATTAAGGAGGAATGTATGAAAAGAAAATTTCTTACACACCAAAATGTGTCAAGTGCTAATATACATTTGTGAATGACTAAACTGGCATAGGTCAGTTGACAATTGTCATGCACATAATAAAATATTTGCCAATTAAATGATGCATTAAAAGAAGAAAAGATACTAAGTGGAAATAAAAGGAGAAAAAGGGGGTTTTATTTTAGGCTGAGCTTCAATATATCCAGAAAAGGGACCGACTGGTTATTTCGTTTTAGTCCCATGAGAATACAGGACTGCAAAACTCCAACATAAAAGACATGAAGCAAGTCAAAAAATGATGGAAACAAAGATAGAGGAAAAAAAAAAAGGAAATTCTAAAATGTGGCAAAGTAGAATGTGAAGCAAAAGATACTGAAGACACTAAAAGCAATCTCAGAAAGATCCATGTCCTAATCATAGCTGAAATGGATGAATCAGAATCCACGAAAAAAAAAAAAAAAAGAAAGAAAGAAAGAAACCTAAAATGAAATAGAAATAAAAACTCGCAGAAATATACTTAGGAGAAAAGGTTTTGCTGTCATTTGTAAGTCAAGAAAAGTCTGGATAAACAAGGTCCTAGAAGACTTCACTGGCTGCAGGGTTGCTGACAATGAGATGTACATGTCACCTGGCAAGGTGTGTAACCTCTGGTTCCCCCACAGGTTTCCATAGGGCAGGTGGTATTATACAAGGTTATCTGCCCGATCCCTGAGGAATTTGGTGTTGGTATCTTAGCTTAGAGGATATAAAAAATGAAATTAATTAACTATAAAGGGAAATTCTTAAATGTTTATATTTCTAAACTCAAAAATCTCTTTACACCCAGGTGTGGTGGCACACACTTGTAATCCCAGCACTCGGGAGACTGAGGCAGGAGGACTGCTGCGAGTTCGAGACCAGCCTGGGCTACAAAGTGAGCTCAAGGCCAACCTGAGCTGTATAGCGAGACCATCTCAAAAAGAAAAAAAAAAGAAAAAAAAAAAAAAAATCTCTTCACAGTGAAGGCATAAAGAACCTCAAAGCAGCAGGAACTGCATTTTGATGGGCAAGTAGTTCTAACTTAGTGTACAGTGCAAATAAGCTTTCCAGGGAAAGAGTTAATCCTACTTTCATGTCAATTAAGTTACCTGCTTCACACTGTATAGCTTGAAGAGACGGATGTTAATTTGGCTTCCTAATTTTCCCTTTAAATGTTATCAAATGATTACTGTCTGGTGCAGCAGGGGCATAAAACATAATTGTGTGTATAGAAAGTTGGGCTCCACAGGCTAGGCAAGGTAACCATGATGCTAAAGCAAAAGCCTCACCGCTCAGACTACCCCACACAATGTTTAAATATGGGAAGGTTGGTGTCACCACTGCGTGAGTCATAAACAGCATGACTCAAAAATCAAACAGCTAGGTGTCAAAAACCCATAGCTGAATTTCTAGAGATGAAACACCAGTAAAGCTTGATATTTTATAAGAAGATCAACATCAAAACCATAATATATTTAGGATACCAGGTACTGGAGGCTGAGGCAGGAAGACTGTTGGCAACATAGCAAGATACTGACTCAAAAAAGAAAAACAATGGCTGGAGACATAGGTCTGTGATACAGCACTTTGTCTAGCACGCAGGAAGCCCTGGGTTAGTTTCACAGCCGTAGTAAATAACTAAATAAATAAGTAAAACAAAATGTTTAGGCTCTATTTTATGAAAAAAAAGGCCCTGATTTAACTGATGAAAGATTAAAATAGAAAAGATAAATACATGCTCTTATAAGGTCAGTTAATGAACAATAAAAATTTATAACCAGTTAATGGTGTTTATTCTTCTTTTAAAAAGCTTTTTTAAGGCATCTGTATGGTGCAGGCTGTAATCCCAGCGCTCAGGAGGCTGAGGCAGGAGAATTGCCAGAAGTTCAAGGCCAGCCTGGACTATACAGTGAGAGTCTGTCTAAAAAAAACTGAAAACAGAACAAAAAAGCTAGGTTCTGGTTATTTGTTTTCTTTTGAAGTTGTACAT